TGGTTCTGCCATTAAACTGGATTAAAAATCTATTTAACCATCGTGACACGGGCCAAGTGCAAATGCAATGGCAGAAGAGAACTGTCATCTGACAGTTTATCTCTCTGTCGTGATGGTTATGTCCTGCCGGAGGCGTAAGCTCATTTTGCATTCGCCATGACACTCAATTAATGCGGACAGACAGAGGACTCTGGACTGGACAGAACTGGGACCCCGGCCCGCATAATCCTTTGCCCACTTTCAATGGCTACAACTTAATTATGTGGAAGCCCCAAGAAAGACAGCCGAGAGCGAGCACTTGACGCTAATGCCCGGAGCCACTTGAATCTCAAATCCTTGCCCACGCACCAGCAAAAGCAAAATTAAGAGGAACATCGCAAGATGAGATTAACTGAGAAGCCATAGTACAGGCCTAATACCCTATTTATGGGCAAACCAGCCTACACTTCGTGGGAAAACTAATGTACAAGAACCTCAACATCTCATGGAAATTTTAGCATATTTTCAACGACAAAACAAACTTTAAACAAAAGTCGAAAGACTCTATTGAAGAGAGTCTCTTTGCAAAAAAGGTCTGTCTCAGAGAACACAACTTAAGTGCTTCATTACGATTTTAATTTGGCATTTTACCTGCCCCAAACTCGCAACTTTGCCCTGTCTTGGTCTTGGTCTTGGCCAACTTTGTCGCCGAGTTGGTCTTCTTAATTAGAACAATTTGCCAGGACGACAAGTGGTCTTAGCATAAACTTGACTAAAGGACGCAAAAATCGCGACGAGCCTCCGCCGTTTGGCCTTGTTGAATGTTGCTACAATGGAAATAGTTGGGCCCACAGATTCCGCTGTGGGGTTTCAGCCACCTTCTTCGCGCGTATTTTTCTGTCTATTTACAACAAAGTTAATTGAATTTTCACGCCCAAAACCAAAATCGTGGGAGACAATGGCGGGGGTGCCGCGTTCCGCTACCGCCTAGAGCTAGCTATGTGGCGGCGGCATGGCGTCGCAAAACGATTTATTTGACAAAGTAATTAACTCTGAATAATGCGCATGGAAATTGCCGTCAAGTAGGTCATAACTTGTCGGGCTCAGGAAATTCCTCTATTTATTCAAATGGAAAGTTGAAAATAATACTTATAGTACGCACGGGCAGGTATGCTTTTGACCAATTAATTGATATCGATCAGACGGAATAACAATTGGAACAAGTTCACACCAATGAAATGGAATGTAGGAAAAGCAAAAGAAGCAACAGTTCATTTCTACACGCTGTTATTCTTTTCCCCTTCTTACCCACATATTTGTCACGTACGCACTTAAAACATATGAACGCAGGTTATGAGGAAGATCCGTCACATGACGATACATGGTCCCTCTCGCTCTCATACACTTTTACATTTTCGTGTCGTCTGCTTTCGATTTTGTTCTTGTGGCATTTTGATGCTGAAATTGCGGTGTAACCGGCTTAGGTAGTTTTTGCACTTAGTAAAGCTTGGCAGCTATTACTAATAAGCATTTCTAAAAAGAACAGCTTCTTTTTTTATTAGTCTCACTTACTTAACACTAAGAGTATCCATCAACCACAAAACGGTGCACTGCAGGGAACAGAAAATGCGCATTTAGAGCCTCCAGGGAGTGCGGGGGTAAACTGGCATCCATTTTACACCTTTTTCAATATAAAAGTTTCCGCATTCTATCGGGAACAATTTAAAACCCATTGTTTTTTATATTTATTGAATATTTCACTAGTATTTTAATATTTTTGATACAGCAAATGCACGCGACGCGAAAAGAGTAAAGAAACTGACTCTTCTTCTTCTGTGCATCTTCTTTTCTTTCTTTGCTCGCGCAGAACGAGGGCTGCATGCGCAACTGATCGATTTCAGGGCTGCGCTATCAAAGTTTTAACGAATGTTTACCTTGTGACGTCATAAAATGAGGGTCTGACAAAGTAATTAAAAGAGTTGAATAGCTTTAAATGGTATTTAATCAGTAGATGGGATATAATAAAAAATCACGCTGTCATTGGATTAACCTTGACTTAGGCACCACCTTCCTTCACACCTTGCCGAATGCCATCACATTTCGCACCACCTTCTCACCCTTCATTCAGGAATGCTCACAATACTTGTGCTCTCTTGCTTGTCACTCTCAATAACGACGATGCTCCATCTCCTTCACCCACATCTGTATGTATGTACATATGTTCATTGGATCCCGTTACTTGCGTACTCTGGCGTTCTTTTTCTTGAACTGCGTATGTTTTAGTTTGTGTTGTTTCTTTTCTTTAGTTTGTTCAATGTAAATCTGCTAATCTGACTTTTATTTAACACTGGTGTGTGTTTGTATTTGCGTGGAAGCCTAGGAATATTAAAAGAATGTGGGGCAGTGAAGGGACTAAGTGTACATAAATGGAAGCGCTCTGCCTGGTTCTGAGTGACTATTAAGTGTACCCACACCACTTCAAAGGCTCTAGAACTGCAGTGGAGCTGCTCTAAATGGGAAGAAAGAGATTTTAAACCAATTACCAGCTCTGAAAGGGACTTTAAGTTATAAAATAATCCAAGAAAACAAGCCCCCAAGCCCTGGCCTTGGCCAACTTGTTGCTTGACGATGTCAAAAGACAAAAGCTATGGGAAAATACGCACATTGCGTGGGTCATTTAAAGTGTCGGCCACAGTGAAACAGGAAGCCTCTACTGAAGTTACAATACGATTTCTTCTAATATATCCACTAAACTTTATCAAGATAGTTGTGCAATCGAATGATTACCCATACATAGAATGGAACTCGCCAAACAGCAAATTTACGAAAATAAATCTCAATTTGCTCGCCTTGACTTTTGTTGCCGGTCACCCTGCATTGAGTGGTGGGTCTCGGGGTCTCTCTCCATCTTTTGTAGCGCAGCTCGAACACAATTAGAGGAGCCATGGCCGCACAGGGCTCCAATGACAAGGACCTGGGCGTGGGCGTTGGCGTTGGCGTTGGCGATGGTGTCGTTCGTCTGTATGAGCCGAAGCGTGGGGCAGGGTGTTACTTTTCGCTTTGGTAAGCAACTGACGCCATTTTAATAACGCAAATTACAGTCAGCGTTTGTATAAATTTAGTTCGCTGTGGGCGGGGTGTTGGGATGAGTGGATAAATGGAGCGACACTGGCCGGGCTATGAGTGGGGGGCAACTGTTGCTGTCACATATTGCAGCTGTTGTCAAAGGTTGTTTACGCTGTGGTGCGGTGCCATCAACAATGTCGAAAAACAACTCTAACTAGATGCATAATTTTCTATGGATATGAACGAGTTATTCGAGCTAATGGTAAGCACATACTACAACAGTTATGACTGCTTTGAGTAGAGTTTAATCCTTGCATGACCATTGATTGTCCTTGTCCTTGTTAAATTGCCAACAAAAGCTGATTACCCAAACAGGACACACGCACACAATGGGTGCAGTGGCTCAGAAGCAGCTTTCGAGAAGTCTATTATCAAAGGATATACACACAGATAGAACTGATGAGTCGCCGACTGTCTCTGCTTCGGCATGCTTCGGACAGCAAAACACAGCAGGAGACAGCCGCATGCCCGTCTTTCTCCTGTCGCTCTGTCTGTCTGTGTGGGCCTCGAGCCGTGTGGCATAGCCATAACGCTTGGCAGCAGTCCAACTACGAAATATCCGACAATTGTTGCCATAGCTACTGCTACTCCTGCTGCTGCTGCCACTGCAATTTTGCCCCATATTGTTTGCTGATTTCGTTTCGGCTCTAAAAATAAACAACTCGTATTAAAGAGGTTGCTGCCACGACACACCCAACCTCCCGCAGACAGTGGACCGCCCACCAATCAAGCAATGGCTGCCTTTCCTAATGATAAGCCTTGTTTTGCTGCTCCTGTTGTGGGCGTGGAGTGGCTGCCACAAAATTATTATGATTATAAGTATTATACAAATACTCCGTACCCCCATTGATTTTAATTTTAATGTGGAATTTATCCTTTCGTCTGTTGTTCTGTGTTTTGTGTTTGGAGCCTAATGCGCTTAAATGCGTAATTATTATGCTCCAGGGAGCATTAAGCCACAGAGGGAGCCAATCGGTAAAATAATTAAAGAAGGAAACAGAACATTATCCTTGGGGTTGAATATTTGTATAATAAAATCTGCTGAGGATGCATCCAATTTCTATACGAGGGATATATTTTTTATCAAACCAAACACTTTTGTTTTTTAATCTTTTTTTGGAAAAATGAATAAGGTTTTTATTTACGCATTAAATTCTTGCACATCTTCAATATATATAGTATTGTATATATAAGTATATCGGTATATCACTTGTTATGTAATTATAGATCCTTTTTAATCCTTTCATTTCTGTTTTAGATTTCTTTTCTGATGCTTTTGTTGCTGTTGTTTTTTCTCAAAAAAATTACACATACGAGTAGTTTGTTTATGACGTGATTGAGTTTATTTTGTATTGTATTTAAATGAATTTCTCTTTTAAACGCAACGCACAAAAAATAGTTCAAGCCAACATTAAATTAGATATATTGTAGTATGTATGTATTTATTTAATTAAGATTTAGAATTAATCAAACAATAAGTTTAGTTTTTAATGGTATTTAAGATTGCTGCTAACAATAAACGTATTTAAATTAATTCATGAATTCATATTGTTATCAAATGGAAACGTTTCTCTCTAAGCTTTTCTCTTCCGAAGCTAGCGTCAATGATTGAATAATTAATAATAATTGTATATTGTACGAGCAAGAGTACTTTAGCATAGTATTAGTTAGATATTCAAATATGAATAGAGTAATTAGAGTGGGTTATTGCAGATGTAAACGAGTGTCAAGTGTTTCGGAGAATGAGAAATGTAGTTGTGTGTGAGTGTGTGGATGCCCGGCTAGAGACTAGAGCTAAACGTAGATGTACGATATACATATGTAATTCGCTTATATAAAAATATATATATATATATACTTATACAAATATATGGGGTTTGTGGTTGTAGTTTTTAGCAATTTTGAATTGTGTTTGTGTGTGTTTTGCCACTCGTTTTCCTACTTGAAATGTTTCCATTGCCTTAACTCATGTTATTTATTGTAATTTATTTTATTGAGCACAACACTCAAATATATGTCCGAATGCTTGGCATGCCCTCCATTTACATTTACATTTACTACAAAATACACTTAGCCGAAAGGGGGTGCGTGGGGTTCTCTGTTTGGATTTACAATTACAATTCCGAACTGCCTAGAAATGTGCGTTTAAGTACACGCCGCTTTCAGGATCGAAACCCCAAGAAATATTTTCGCCTTAAGTTTACGTTTCATAAAATTTGCATTAGAATTAATTTAAGTAACGGAATTCGCTGAATGCAAACAAAAAGAATATATATATAAATATTTAATTATATATATATTTTCACTAATTGGCTTAAAAGACTTTCAGAAAAATTGTTTTTTTTAATTTTAATTTAGATTGGTTTTTCTTCGACTACATTTTTTTTAAAGGCTTTTTCTTTCCTTGCAGGAAATACTTATCAAATTTGTAATTTCATAATTTCGCTTTGTTACTAAAATTAAGCCTGGCTTGTCCTTAAAGCCTTAAATAATTTAATTCATTTCATTTTAAATAGAACTTAAAACAAAATTACTGAATGTGTTTTCACTTGGGTGTGGGGCGATCTCTTATGTAGATAAACTGCTTTTTTTTGTGTTTTCTTTTTTGTAGTTTGGGTTTATGGGGTTTTCTTTGCTTTTGCCATTTCCTGGTTCCTCGCTCTCATTCATGCTCATTCATGTCTTCCGCTCTGCCATTCGCATTTGCATTCTCTCTCTCGCTCTCTGCGTGTCTATAGCTTTCTTGTGTTTGTTTTTTAGTTGGTTAGATTTTCACTCGCATTATTTTCAGATTGGAATGACCTTCATTAGAAACATGTACTTTTTCTTTCTTTTCTTTATCAATCTTTACAGTATTATTATTATTATTGAGTGCATTTTTTTTTTTTTGATTTTTTATATGGTTTTGGCTTACGTTTTATGATGAAGTTTTTATGCTTTTCTAAATGGTTTGTTTTGGCTGCTGTTTCTTTATTTTCTTGTATTTGTTGCTTATTTAGGAAAGGGTGCAAAAGTATGGTATATGGTGTATTTTTTTATGTTTTTTGTTTTGTTTTTTGTTGTGGTGGAGTGTCACTCCCCGGCAATTTTGCTTGGCATTGTGTTTTGGTTTTTGTTTTTGTCGTTTCTTGGAAATAGTAAAGTTTCGAAATTTCAACTGACGTTCAAATGTTTTAAATGCATTTAGAAAATAAATAGGATTTGTTGTGTAAGTGTGTGTTGGTGTGTGTTTGTTGTAATCTTCGAAAATTGCTTCGAATTCTTCAGGAATTATATATTTTTTGAGAAAAAAAAAATGTGAGCACCACGCTGGATTGTGTTTTGTGTTTTTGACACGGAACGAAGAAACTTTTGTGGAAGGGAAGTGGGAAATGAAAGTTTTGCTCCTGTTAAATGTAGCATCAGACAGTGAAATCGCCGGCCCAGTTCATTTTGTAGTCATCTATGTTGAACAGATCAAAGATATCGCCGCTGGCATTGAACGCATCAACTGCTCCGCCGCTGGAGTCACCCAAAACACTGCCACCGCTCATGCCATTGGCCATGCTCGTTGTCGTCGTTGAGGAGTAATCTCCCCCGTGCGATCCCGCCTGTGGCTGTGTGACGGCCTGCATGAAGGAATTGAGAGTGCTCTCAAAGTCATCACAGTCCATGGGCGTGCCATTGAAGTGGCTGTTCGAGGAGTTGCTGGAGTCGACATGGGGACTGTTGCCATTGCCGCCAGTCACATGCTGACTGAGCTGAGCCACAAAGCTGTCCGCATCAAAGTCCACATCCGCACCGGGATTGTTGTTCAGCAGCACGCTTTCCGGACTGCTGGCATCGAGCAGCTCGTTGATGCACGGCTGCAGGCTGGGATTGAGATCACGTCGCAGGCTGTTGTTGTTGCCGCCACCCTTGGGAGTGTTGGGTGTGCAATAGGTGTTCGAGTCGTCGCCCATGTCCATTTCCAGCTGCTGCGACATCAGCTCCAGCAGCTCGTACTCATCGAAATGATTCAGCTTGGCATCCGGACTGTTGGGCTTCTCGCTGCCGCTGTGGCTGCTCTTTGGCGGCGTGCTGGGCGGTGGCGTGGCGTGATGCTGCTCCAGGAAGATGTCCAGCGTCTTGGCCACGCTCTCGGCATCAATGGCACTCGTGTCCGGCTGCAGCGGTGATCCCATGTCAATGTTCTCGATGAAACCATGCGGCGTGTGCTGCTGGCCGAAGCTCACGTGCGAGTCATTTGTGTCCATGGCCATGTCCAGCGTGGCCACAGCCGCTTGGGGTGTGGGCGGTGCCTCCAGCTTGGGCACCAGTGGCACAATGCTGGCTCCACCCGCTGCTGTGGTCGGTGTGACAGTTCCATTGAACATGGACAGCTCGGGCAGTGGCGTCAGCGGTGTGATTGGCTCGAGGGCCGCACTCTCGGGCAGCTCCCCCTGCTTGATGAGTATGTCCAGAACATCGCTGACCTGTTCGGACTTGATGCCCGCCGACTTGCGCTTCACCTGATTGCTCAGTGGTGCTGCAGCTGGCACTGGCAGCGCCAATGGCGGTGCTGGCGACTGCACAGGCTCCTCTTTGATCTTGACCAGCGGCACCAGTCCGTTGAGTGCCGCTGCCTTGCTGGCAGCCAGCTGCTTGGTGGCCTCCTCATACTGTGGCGGTGGAGCTGTCGTGGATTTGATGTCCAATTGGATGAGTTGCTGTTGCTGCTGCTGCTGCTGCTGCGGACGCTGCTGCTGCTGCTGTGGCGGACGCTGCTGCTGTTGCTGCTGCTGGAAGTGCGACTGCTGCAGCTGCTGCAATTGCTGTTGCGTTATAATGGACTTGGCTTCAATGGGAAACACAATGCTGGGCAGGGAGTTTGTGCGTTGATGGCCATTCAGCAGCTTCTTCACGGGCGCAGGTGCAGCTCCTGCAGGTCCTCCTCCTGCTGCTCCTGCTGTGGCGGTGGTGGCGGTGAGGCTGATATTCCCCAGCGTATGTGCCGTCATTTGCTGATCGTTGAGTCCCACCAGGAAGATGGTTTGGTTACCCTCGTTCCACAGCAGACCCACATTGTTGTGGTGCGGTGTGGTGGCTCCCACTCCTCCTCCTCCTGCTCCTACTGTGAGCGGTTTGCTTGCCTGCAGTATTGTTGCAGTTGTTGTGACTGCTGTGGGCACTGTGGCAGCAGCAACATGCGATTTCTTGGCCTGATTCTTGGCTGGAGCATTGCTTATGTGATTGTTGTTGATCTGGTTGTTGTTGGTGTTGAATGGAATGAGTACAGTTTGTGTCTTTTGCGTGAGCAGGCGCACCTGTTGCTGTTGCACCTGCTGTTGCACCTGCTGTTGTTGCTGCTGCTGTTGCACCTGCTGCTGTTGTTGCTGCTGTTGCTGTTGGAGCGCCTGCTGTTGCTGCTGTTGTGCGGCTGCTGCTGCTGCTGCCGCTGCCTTTTGCTTTTGTATTTTTGCCTCCAGCTGCTGCTTCACCACCATCTTCTGGCTAATTGGCGCTGGCGGCTGATTGGGGTTTGTGGCAATGTTGCTGCTGCTGTTGGCGTGCGCTGCCTTCTTGGCTGCTCCATGTGGCTGCTGTTGCTGCACTCCATTGAGCTTAGATGCACTCGCTGCTGCCGCTTTGACTGTCACCTTGGCCGGTATGCTGCTACTGTTGCTCTTCTCCACGTGCTGCTGCTGTGGCAGCACCGTCAGCGTCTTCTGTGGCCCCCCATTCGATGTTGTTGTGGTGATCAGCGTGATTTGCTGTGGCGGCATGGCATTTACCACTGTGTGATGCTGTTGCTGCTGATGCTGCCGCTGACGTATCTGTTGCAATTCCAGCTGCGAGCGCTGCAATTGACGCTGCAGCTCGTCAATCTTTCGCTGCTGCTCGCGTAGCAGCTCCTCGTTCGTCAGAATGATCGTCGCTGTCTGTGGCTGCTGTGGCACAATCGTCATGGCGTGTGAGGTGTCCATTTGCTGCTGCTGTTGCTGCTGCTGCACATCCATCTGCTCGTGCTCCATGCCGGCATCGCACACCACCATGGTCGCGGGTGGCGGGTTGCTGGTGTCCATTGCATCGCTGATTGTGATCACCTCCGTTGTGGTGCTGGCGGCAGGAGTGGGCGGCTCCAGTGGCTCTAGGGGCAGATACGGCTTCAGGCGTTCAATCAGATGCGGCTTGGGTCCGGACACTGGCAGATTGCAGCGCTTGAGGTGCTGCTTTAGATCGGAGACCTTCATCTTCTCCAGTCGCGTTATGTCCGTGATGCAGGCGCTGCTGTGGGTCGTGGCATTGGACTCTGCATAGCTGGTGGCCGGACTGGGCGGTATGGAGGAGCTCACAGACAGCGCTGGCGAGGGCAGTGGCGGGGGATGCTGCAGAATCACTGGCGGCAGCACCACAGCAGCTACTGGTGGGTGTTGCTGGAGCTGCTGCTGCTGATGGTGGTGCTGGTGGGGCGTGGCTATTAGCGACAGCATGGGCGGTGTGGGTGTTACCGCTGGCGTGGGCGTGGTCAGCATGGCAGCATCGCCAAAGTTCATCGGAGCTCCGCCTGAGCTGCTCGTGATGGAGATGGTGTTGGGCAAGCTAATGGGAGCTGGAATCGGTGCTGTTTGAGCGGAGGCCAAAGCCGGCACTGTCTTGGTCGTCACCGTGATGCTGTTGCTAGGCGTTGAGGGCGTGGCTGGGCCAGCCACTGATGCTGCAGCTGCAGCGGCAGCGGACGACGGCAATATGGACTGATTCTTGTTGAGGTTCTCCAGAAATTTGAGCAAACAATTCTGCTGCTCCAACATCAGCTGGTAGGAGGTCTCCTCCGGCTGCGTTTGATCCACCTTCTGGCCGGCAGCACTCGGCGGACCCTTGTACTCGTGGAATTTAATGGTGCGCGCCTTGGACACCGGCTTGGACTTGGACTTTTTGCGATTTTTGTCCTTGCCTGGTGCATCCGACTTGACGGAAACGGGCTGCAGATGCAGACGGGTGATGGCTGGCGGCGGCGGTGACGCAATGGAAGACAACGGACTCAGCGTGGAGGTGCTGCTGGAGGCCAGTGAGCAGGGCGATGCCAGCATGGGCATGGGCAGGAACTGATTGGCCGCCGGTCCGGCCACGCTCTGGCAGAGCTCCTCGAACAGATTGGCCGTCTCCGGCTTTACCTTCACGATGCTGGCCATTGGCAGCGGCGGCGGTGGAGGCGGTGGCGGAGGCACAGGTGCAGCCAGCACCATTGCCTTCAGCTGTGCCGGCTGCTGGTGCTGCTGCTGCTGCTGCTGCTGGATGATCTGCGGCGAGCTGACCATCAACTGACCACCACCACTGACTGTGGGCATTGTCAGTGCCATCGTCACAATCCCAGCGGAGGCAGCGGCCACCTGCAGCACATCCGTGGGCGGTGAGGGTGCTGTCAGCAGCGTGGGTGTCACGACCATCGCCTCATCGAGACGTGGCGGCGTCTGTCGTGTGTCGCTCTCGGAGCTGAGCGAATCCTCATCGAAAGTCACATAGCTGTGCGGATGCTGGGGCCGCGTGAGCAGCCCCTCGCTGGTGGCCTTAAACGAGACGAGGCCCTCCTTCACGATCTTCTCGATGGGCTTCTCCGTGTGCAGAATGTTCTTCTTGATCAGCTCCAGCGGCCCCGGACGGTGCTGAATCTGTGAATTCAACTGATCGGCGAGTCGGGCCTTCTTCAGCATGCGCTGCTTCTCCGCCAGACTGGGATCGATGTGGCACTCATCCTCCTCGAGTATGTGACGCCGCTCCAGATCCTCGCGATTCGGGCGCTGCTGGATCTTGGCCTTCAGCAGATCGCTGGTCTTGGCGCGTTCCAGTTGCTTGCATTGTTCGTGGATGGCGGGCGAGGTTTTCAGAGCTAAGGAAGAGATACAGAGAGAGGGAAAATTTGGATTAAAACTGCCGGAAAAATGTGTGGAAAGGCGTGATCTTTGATTGCCTCTAACTATTCTCCATCTAGGCTTACATTTGCAGAGACTTTTGGCTAAACTTGTACCCCGCGTAAATTCACTTTTCTTTGTTTAAAGACCCCCCAGGAATACTAAGCTTCTCTGTGTATCTTTAATGCATTTTTGAATAACTAAATAAAGTAAAGCCTCAATTTCCTTGGTCTCTCTCTGCCTTAAGTATGCTTTTCCCTCCAAGTTTGGCTATGGATATTCCTTCTTTTCTGTGGAAAATCTATCATTTAAATTCAAATTTACTTTCACTTTCGCTTGGCGTTCGAGAGCTTTGAATTAGTTTGTAAATTTGCGTATTTTTTGCTAGGGCAGGACTCTATCTGCCTCTCCTTTCCTTTCCCTTCTTTTCTTTTCGCTGTCATTTTTTTGATTTAGCTTCTTCCGTTATTCGTTTCATTTTGGGGGCGGTACCGCGCATAAATTTGAAAGCCATTCAAATGAAATGTATTTGCATATCCTTTTTGGGCCGTAAAGCAGCTGCTTTGAGCCAAATAAGTGGGGTTAATGGGGAATTTATCGATCTGCGGATCTAGTGGTGAACACTCCCTCTCTCCCTATCGGTAATACTTACATGGTATGATGCCCTGTTCGACCAGCTGCGAGTGGGGTCGTCGCACCATTAGCTTCACTTTGAGCGCTGCAAAAAACGACACAGAGAGCAGAAATTATAGTAGAAACATTCAACAAGTTGCCGACACACAAATCAAACATAATTTATCGCAGAACAATGCCAGAGATCAAACATGGAAGGCCCATAAAACCGCTGTGGGGGTAAAATCTACTCGTAGTTAATTTTTGTTGCGTTGGAAAAAACTTTTCTCGCCTTTTTTCTAGCATTTTGACAATGGAGGGAGGCGCACGCAATAAATGTCGAGCCCAAACAAAACACACAGAAGGCAGCTGCAAATGGGCCAAAAAACAGACAGACACAACAAAAAGGAAAAGAAAAACTTTTTAATATCTTTATGTGCGGGCGATTATGGTGTGAAGAGTATTTATGTTCCCAGGAACTTTACAGAGAGAGAGAGAGAAAGTTTGTGCGTTTTCGAAAATGAAATATTTAAGCCAGTGCGAAAGACAGGAAGGACCCCACAAAAAACAAGAGAAAGTGACTAAGAAAGGAGCACAAGAATTAGGTAATAATCTGATTAGAAGATTCCCACATCCTACTGTTGTTTTCGGCTTGACTAAATGACAGATTGATGTCAATTAACTTTGGCGACTGGCTGCCACTCCAGCAGACACAAACACCCACAAAAAAGAGGCAGAGCGAGCGACTGTACCCCCCCACAACATGGAGGCAGAGACTATACGGAAAATCGTATTGATTACGGTGACTGGATTTCACTTAAGATCCAATTTCAATTATAAACGAAAACTGTAGCCAAAATTAATCAATTGATGGGGCATTAGTCGCCTCGCCCCTTCCCCTTTCTTGATTCATTAGCTACACAAAATGGATGCCTTAAATGCTGAAAGCTGCTGCTGCCTGCCGGCTGCATTTCGGTTAATGTAATTTTGGTTCATGCTTTGACATATTAAGCATACGACCTGTTGTCACAAATAACATTATCTTCAATTAGCATTCAGGACAGAGCACCATAGGGAGAGGGCAGTGCGAAAATGTTTCACAAAATGACCAACCAGCCATATAATTAAAACGAAATAATGCGAATTAAGGACAAAGCAGGAAGGGCCTTAGAGGATGAGCATGGGAGCTAAAGGGATGAAGTAGCACCCGGAAATTAAATGTAAACACACACACACACAAAAAATCAACAAAAATATCGGGTGGATCGGGTGGATTTCCTTGCTGCGGTTTGCCCGTGTACTCTCTGCCACAGCCAAGTAAGTGGGTTAGCCTGTGTCAAGCAGCAGACACCGAACGGTGGAACACTTGACGCCACAACACAGTCGACATCAAAGCGACGATGACGTTATTAAAGTAATTTAGGCTCTTTGTCGGAAATCATCATAAAAAAACAAAGAGTCAAGCGAGCTGCCAAGGCGCGTAATTGTCTCAGACGGAAAAAGGCGAAATGGCAGGGGCCGAGGCAGTTGCAGAACCGGCAGCTGTTGACTGAACAGGCGCCCAAATTTACGATTGAAGTGTGCCACACAAAAATGTGCGCAAAAAGAGAGGAAAACAAACCAAGGTTGCCGAATCTTTTGATACACTTTGCCGCAGAGCATCTGTAAAACATCTGCTGGCCATCGTAATGCTCTCAGCTGGGAAAAGGGTATAGAAAATTCCAAGAATCACCCAGGTCTTGTTTTTGTTTACAAATATTTAGCCAGTGCGAAAATATTTTGGCCATGTAACAAACACACAAATGGGAGATGGCGCTGGTTCCATGGAAAATCATATCTCGATGACGACACTGTCGCTCGCTCTCCCCTTGAGAAATTAATTATGCGCGAAATTTTTTGTGTTTTGTTGGTGTTCTGCTTTGGCTGCTAAATCTTCCGATACTTCTGTTTACGTTTCACGTGGGCCGTACCGACCGATTGATAAAAACAATAGCATAAATTCCAAATTAAACACATAAAAGTTTTTATGCGTAAGGCAATAAAAATTGTGCAGACATTTTGCTTCCCACCTACAACAAATGTTATTTTCTTTTTCTTGGCATTGTTTGCGGTGGCCCTTCTCAGAGTCCCACCCCATGAGTGTTGCCCGAAACACGAAGGTCAGGTAAACAATTGTCTAAAGAGAACGAGAAAGCAGCTAAAGAGCGATAGATTTAAGCGAAAGAGAGTGGGTAGAGAGCCCAAGCAGATACGTGTATTTATATATTGGATTATAAAATCGATTACGTGATCAAACGATGGCGTATTTGGCCCATCATCAGTGCTAGGAAAATGAATGAAATGGCAGCCAGAGGAGAGCCCACAGTGGGCTAGATGGGTAAGAAAATACGCACACAAAAATGGGAACAATTCAAAGTTTTATACAGTTTTTCTTTACAACAAATATCTACACAGAAAGATAGTCCTTGGATCCACTGTAGAGTTCTGTATGCTTCCTTTCATTCACAAACAGGGCCTGCTGCAACTGTCGCTCCTGAATCAGCCGCAGCCTCTCTTCTGCCACTCTCTCCCTGCCTCGTCTGTGCTGTCCCCCCTGGGGGTCGCGTGCATCGTGTTTATTTGTCAAAACATTTTGCAGCATCGACACCGACCTGCCACTGCCAACGACGCCCCATTATTGACTGTGTGTGCGCTGGGCCAGCCATGTGTTTATAATAAATTTGTTGGCAAAATGTTTACTTGCACCCAAAAACTGTGCACTCTGGACGGTGGACTGTGGCAGTGGCAGGTTTTCTAGCTGGTGGTTGCGGCTAAATATGCAGTTTATTGTTAGATAACTTTTTGGGCGCCTGCCGGAAACATTTTGCTTGCCCCAGCACCAACCCCTGCCCCAGTTCTCTCAATTTTGTTTATTTCTGGCAAGTTTTTGGCTTGCAAAAAGAAAAACCCAGCAAAATTCGTAAATATTTGAAACCTTTTGTCAGGGTCAGACAACGTGTGAACTTCTTTCGTATTTGTTGGCATTTCCGGTTAGGCCCAACAAGAACAAAAATGCCATGCAATTGATGCAGGCGACACGAGCTGTCAAAACTATTAGCGAGTGTGCATCCCCATGCCACGGAAAGACAGACAGACACACACATGAAATCCAATGGCCCGACACGGCTGTCATCTTTTTTGGCCATTCAAAATTAATAAGAATATTTCTCTTCACTCGAGCGAACTGCCAACGAAAATATGTAGGCCAGCAGCAAGGGGAAAAACTGTTGACAATTTAGAGAACATTTTTCAGTCTATGAATGGGTACCCGCTGCGTTGTTGCCGTATGCCCCAAGTGCCTGCCTGTTGCGCCAGTGACAGCTTCATTAAAACTTGTAAATGCGGGGAAAACGCTCTCTAGACGGTGATGCTGCTGCTGCTGCTGCTGCTGCTACTGATGATGAGGCAGCAGCATTTATGACTAACCAAAAACCAATGGCATAGGCACAGGCACACACAGAAAACCAAATGACAAATGCCAAACAGCCGCCACAAGATGGCTCTTTTGGGCGTGGGCGTGGGTGTGGACTATGATCTAGGGCCCTACTCTGCTCTTTCATTCAACATTCAGCATTCAGCTGAGGGCAAACTCACATTCTTTGTTCTTGTCCATGGCTGGTTGCAGGGGACTGGAATCCACGATGGCCTTTGGCGGTGATTGTCTGGCATCGTAGCAGTCCGAATTGTTGCCATCATCGCTGCTGCCCAGAAATGTAGCATGCAGTCGCTGCTCGCCTGCACACACAAAGAGAGAAATGCTAATTAAAAGGAGGCTCCACAAGATAATTCGGTGACTTACCCTCTGACATATCGTCGTAGGCCTCGTGCAGCAATATGATATCCTGAAAGGAGTGCTGCAAGGCCTTGCCACTGAGCCTGGTGGCCAGCAGACCGTTGCAGGTGGCACTCGAGATGAGCTCTACGGTGGTCAGTGGCGATGTGGATATGGTGGCCAGCAGCGAGGAGCTGCCGCTGCCACTGCCACTGCTGCCGCTACCGCTACCGTTGCTGCAACCGCTGCTGCCACTGCTCAGGCTATGCAACGAGGCCGACTTCACCAGCTGGCCCACCTTTTGGCAGCTGTTGCTGATGCTGTTGCTGTTGCCGTTGTGCGTCGTCTTTTGGGTGGCCTTGAGCGTACGTGCCAGCCCCTTGCTGGGCGACGTGGAGGTGGATTTGTTGAGGAAGCGGCCCGCCGTCGCTGCACCACCCCCACTGGAGTGGGAGCTGCAACTGCTGCTGCTACTGCAGCTGCTCAGACTGCTGCTATTGGATTTCTTTGAGCAATTGGAGCTAATGGAGGAAGCGGGCGATGCGGAGCTCGAGCTGTGGCTCAATATCGCTGTCTGGTGATGCTGTTGCTGTTGGAGTGTATGATTGTTGTTGCTGTTGCTGTTGCCGCTGGCGATTTTCGTGTCTATGGTAATGGGTATGACACTGTGGCTGGGCACCAATTGGTGCTGATGGTGCTTTTGGTGCAGCTGCAACTGCTGTTTGCTGGCTGCTGCTGCAGCACCCGTGCCGCTCTGAAACCAACTGGGAAAGCTACCCTTGAGCGTGTCAAATAGATCCTGATCGAGCGTTAAACGCCACGATGCAGGTCCTCCGTCCACGCTGTGCGTAGACTCTGCAAAGAGATCAACAGAAAATAATGTGTTCGATTAGTATTTGAAAACCTCTTCTTTATGGTTATAATTAATATATGTGTAATTAAATTTACTTGTTTTAGCTTTAAAGCTACTCCAAAATTACATCCAAGAATGAATATTTTGCAGATTTGTAGAATAAAGGGTGTTTTCGTAGTCGGTAAGTCGAAACAAATGACAAAGAAACTAAACAGCAAATGTTGTTGGTTATTCCTCTTTATGCTTGTTTGCTGAAACCGTTTGCTGCTGAGAGTGCAATATACTGACGAACACGCAGGTACGCAGCAAAGTAAAGTCCCGTTGGTTAGTGGAAGTTGAGGGTTGCTGCGACCGAGGCTTGAGAGGGAGCGTCGTCGTCTTAGCCGTGGGTGGTGCATTGTTGTTGTTGAGGGAGCATAGTTTGCAGCGCAGCTTGAAGTGGAAACAGAACATGATCGGACATGTTCGACAAAGAGAGATTACACTGTAAATGCAAAAATCGGAGCAGCTAGGAATCAGGTGTGGCGACTGTTGTTGCTGCTGAGAGGGGGCAATGGAATAACTCAATTGCGAGACAGTGTAAAATTGCGTGAGAGAAGCAAAAGACAGGTAGTCGAATTAAAGTTCAAGAGAAAAGACAAATGCGAGGAGCTTCTCTAGTCTGAATGCAGAAACCAGAATCGCTAGAACTGAGCTGCAGCCTAGGGGTGTGCATCTCAGAGAAGTATTTGTAATAAAAAAATGGAATGCAATAACAAATTATTTACATACATACAATTTAAACCTATTGCATTAGGTGTTTGAATCTTTGTGTTAATTAAATTTGCCCTCTCCTCCTCTCACTTGCTGTATGTACATATTCTATCTGTATTCTCTTTGTTTTTCCATCTCTTTTAACACATTTATTTATTCAAATGCTTCACCACCCTTTGGTGGCGTAGAGCAGGCAGCTCTTCCTCTTGTGTGCTAGTTATTTATGCTAAACACTAAACGCTGCCAAGTAACCTAGTTTGTAGCAGCAGCAACCAACCCAGCAGCCCTCCTAGCTCCCTGCCTCATCAACCATTCATCGCATAGAAAATATAGCAAAGCGCGTACTTTGTATTTATTTTACAAATTCTTTTCAACATCTCTTCTGTAGCTCTCCCGTTTGTAACTTTCTTTGTATCTCTTTGTAGAATATCTCAGTCTTTTTATTCTACAGATATTCCCCCTTTCTGTTTACGCGTTTGCCGAGTCGAGTGTTTCTCCGATTTTTATGGCATGTTTTTGACTTGAGAATTGCACCAAATAAAATAGCGTTGAATGGGAGATGCATATCGAAAATTGCATACAAATAAAATGATTCGCAAAATGATTTAACTGGTGGCGACAGTAATGCGAATTGCGACGAAAATATCTTGGCACTTGGCACCTCCGCATTGGGCATTGCATCATGTGGCTATCATTTGCCCCAAAGCGGACATTCCCAGACACGCCTCAGCTTATGCAATAATCCTTATTTTAGCCACCATTTCGGAGGGGTGTATAAATAGGTCGGTCGGGCAAGACAAAAACGGTTTAGAACCTTTATAGCGTACCCACCCAGACATGAGAGTCTGATGGACGGACGGGCAGACGGACGGAATGACATGCACTTGTCAAATGTTTTTCCTTTTTTTTTGTTCGTTATTTGTTTTCGTTTTTTGGTTATATTTGGCAAATGGTCTTTTTGGCTTTCTGCTTCCACTTTGATTGTTATTTCTGTTGTGCGGAGCTTAAAAAGGTTCTGCATACATTGTTATGGCGGCTATTAATACACTTTAGAGGACGGCAAAAGCAGCAGCAGCGGCAGCAGCAGCTGTTTCTCCTCCCCTCCGCACACTCACTATCTTCCTCTATCTCTCTCTTTGCTGTGACGTGGGCGACTGCTGTGACACTTTCATGCTTTTAGTTTGTCGGTTTTTCTACTCTGTCGTTTGTTTATTTAAACTAAATTTGAAATCGCTATGCAAATAAATAGATAAATATGCCGTTCTGTGTGCCACTGCCGCTGCTTCTGCTGCATTTATTGGTCATTAAAGCAGAGCGCCAAGAAACCAAACAAACATGCACCACGCGACGCCACCCACCCACGCCTTTCTGCTGGCTTGTTGCAGCATAGCTTTCATCATTGCATATTGCCGCACTGCGCTCTATGTGCATGGTGGCGCGACATGTTGTCCACACGCAGGCACATGGCATGAGATTGTGCCACCAAAGCCATTGCCAATTCTATTTCTGTGGCAGCCAGCAGCAGCGAATGCAAGTGGTTTCTCTTGGCCACAACACACACACACTCACACACGCGCTTCTTCAACTTTCAGGGGCTGCACACACGGGGGGCAAGCGGCAGGCAGCGGAGACTGGCAGGAGGCAACGCCTTGGCCATTGCAATTTGTCAAGTGACAATAGAAAACAATATAAAGGAGAACACACAAAGGAAATGAGAGTGAAAACTTAATGGTGCGCTAAAAAGGAACACACCAAAATACATATAGAGGAATATTAATATTCAACGAATTATATTTTTAATATAATCAAAGCAAGAACAAACAGCACTTTACGATGAATCAATAGAGAATAGGAAAACCTTTACACAATCCAATATATAGAGAGAGAAAGAGTGGAGGTGAGCGAAAGTGTGGTGGAGAGAGAGTGGTAGAAACAGGTGTGTACAGGCGTTGACAAAACTATAACCTTGAAGGAGCCATGAAAGCATTTGCAGGTACACACACGCAAGTTAAGGGTTCGTTCAGTCAATTGGAACAAGTGTAAAACCAAGACGGAAAGGGTAGCCATGGAAGTGGAAGCTGTGTGGATACCCTGGTGAATGACGTATAGCAAACAGGGTTCCAATATGTTATGAGTGGGGCTGCAACATCAGCATCTTTGGTTTGTTTTCTCAAGATTGAAATTACTTCCCTTTCTGCCACAAAACCATAATGACCCTTCAGCACTTAGTTTGATTTCATGGGCCTGCAGGAGGCACAGAAACTGTGGCACTCCATGACCAAAACTAATCATTCAGTGGCCGTAACGGAAGTTCAGGCGGAAGTTGTAGCACATTCCATTCCATTCCTCACCTACAAAAGTGTGTGGGTGTGTGTGTGTGTGTGGCATCGTTACTTCCAGAGCAAACATCAATTATGTATACGGCTGGCTGGTGGGCTGATGGCATGGTAGATGGGTGTATAAGATGCCAGGAGCCATACACGAATCAACGCGCCGCAAAGTATGCTACAACATTGAGGTCGCTTTGTGCCACACCACACACTGCCAAATGTTGCTCCGTCTCTACCTGTGCGGCAAGATACAACTTCCTTTTGGGGAGAGGGGTAGAGGAAACAGGATGCTGTTAACGTTACTATTCAACATAATCGATGCTTGTCGTACGAGTTGCTCGCATTTAACCTGGCAATTTGTCGGCGGCTGCATAAACCTCCAATTTTTTTTGCAGTTTATCTTCTGGGCCCCCTCTTTCTTGCATAAATCAACAAAAAGTGAAACCCACCTTGCCCCATTTGTCTAGTCACGTGGCAAATTTATTGCTCATCAAATAAAGGAAACGATTGTGGCATTTAATTATTAAAAAGAGAAACACACCAAAAACGTGCCATACACTGACTTCTATGACCCTCCCCCCCACGCTCTACACACTGCTGCAAATCGTGACCAATGCAAAAAACTGCAATCGAAGAGATGCGACATTTACATATTCATTTGAATGCCAATAACAGCTGCAACAGCAGCAGCAACAAGCATTAGAAGCGGCAGCAAGAGCAGCAACATCGCTGCTGACAGCTTCGACAAGCGCAAAGGAAAGGAGGATTATGCAAGCGCCATGAATACCAGAAAAAAAATACAGAGAGAAAGAACAAAAAGGAAAACGTAGAAAAACAACATAGTAGAAAGAACAAAAATTCAAATGTATCCGCGAGAGTAGCAACAACAAATACTCGGATAGCCTCAGTGCCATGTGTCGCTGTCGCTGGGTTGGGTGGGTGTACGATACTCGTGGATAATCCGCTGGTGTACAATGTATATAAGGCTGCAAATTGAAACGTATATTTGTAAACAATACGCAGAGACGTCATAGACGAAATCCGAAAACCCATTTAAATGCGCGCGGGGGCACACAGACACACCGACGTACTCGCACATACAGTACATCCAGTGAAAAAGAACAGAATAGAAAAATACCCCATAACAAAAAAACAAGAAAGAAAGGATTGGGTTTTGGGTAACCGAAGAAATAGATACACTTGCTGATAGGAGGAAAACAAAGAACGATTTATGGATAAATATATAGAATCAAGCAACAACGAGACGAAGCTTCTTGCAGGAGGTTTAAAGTAAATAAATTCTCAAAAATAGAAAACTTCAGTTTTACAGGAGAACCTCTGCCTCATTATGGGGCACACATACACAGATAAAAGCGAGACAAAATAGCTATCGAAAGTTAAAGTTCAGTGCACATTTTTAGATACTTTTCGTATAACTTCTCAACCCCTTTTAGGACTAACAAACATAAAACCTAATAACCTCCTTCAAAGTGTATTTATATTCAAATGAAAATTACTTTTCACCAGCGCCAAGAAATCGTTTGGCGATTGCCAAGCGAATGACTGAATGGAGCGTCGCTCTATCTACCCGCGTTTCATTTCATTTCATTTTGGTCATAATGCTGGAAACGTGTTTTTCCACTCGTACCACAGAGCAACACCAGCAGCAGCAGCAGTCATCGAAAATATACAATGTATTTGTGTATAGTCTGTACATATGTATAATAAAATAATCTATGGCGAGGCGCTTTATTTTATTTTATAGTTTTTAATATGCATAAACTTGTATTGCCTTTTTGGTATCGATATTGGCTTGTTGTTTGCCAGAAATTTCGCATGTTATCGCCGTTTGACAAGTGTCAGGTAGCTCTGGCAATAACAACGCAACAAAACAGATACAACAATCCAACCAACAATAA